AATTTCCACAACACTGTTTGTTTCATTTGCCAAAGTTTGGGCCCATCCAGGAATTTTCTATTAGTTGTATACTTGTATTTCCATTTCCCAACAGCTTTTTTTGGGTTCATTTACCAAGGGAAATAAGTAGAGAAGGAAAAGGCAAAAAGTTCAGAAAAAGAAAAGGATAAAGAAAAGGAACTTTCTTCAGAAGCTTTTAGATTAGACTCCTTTGTGGGTTTTTCTTCCAAAAAAAAGGGCAAAAAGAAAATCACAGGAATGGGCTTAATTTGAGGTTTACAGGCCATGGTCCCTATACATGACGGATTTAGGCTTTGATGAAACAACTCAGAAGGGTTTAGGCCTAAGACCAGTATCTTTGACGTTGCCATGTTGGCAAAGCTAGAAGCCTTTCATTTTCCTACTATTCTCTAGCTTTGGATCAAACATGGTGGGCAACCAGAAACGACACTCCTTTTTTTTTGTTGGTGCCAGTGAGGATCAAAAAGAGTCAGATGATGAACCTCTCAAGCTTCGTGATGGAAAACTGACTGATCCACCTGTTCTAGGAGTAAGGAACTGTTGCTTTCAAATGCTAGTCATTTAACAAAATTGTCATCTGGCTTTGGGAGTTTGGGTCCTTGCCTATGGCCTATAGGACTAACCATGAGTCACGGTTTTCATCGCTCTTACCAACCATAGATTTTGATGGCTTCTACTTTTGCACTTTAAAACAAATTAACAGATATTTAAACATTGATTATTTGATTTGATCATTACTAGTTAGAAAAGTAACTAGTACTTATCTCCATTAGATTAAAGTTCACCACACAACTCCACTCGTTGTCAACACTATAATGATGATAGAGACTCTAAAGAAAAAGAGTGATAGAATACAACAAACAGGCTGAAAAAACCAAAGAAAAGAACCCCCAATCTTTGAAGCTCAAGAACAGCAAATGATCTGCTCTGCTGTGTGTCATCACATGCTGCATCTTCCTAGTGTGGTCTCACCTTGTGATTCAACAACATCTCTCGGAGCTCCGCTGCATCAATCTCCGCCACGCAATTCTCAGGCCTGTAGTACCCAGTGACAGGATCAGGGGCCCAAGCTGTAGAAACCCGCAACTCTTCTTTCATCACACCCCTCTGCTCAACTTTCCCCACCATTCCAGGCCTGGACCCTCCCCTACCGAAGGCAGCCGTCACAGCTCCATGCGGTGTAACCGAGTACCCTCTCCTACAAGCAGCCACGTTCAAATCAATGTTACACCAACAACTTAACCATCATATCCACATCACAAACTACAAAAACTAAACCATAAAAATAAAACAACATAATTACCGGGAGATGGAAAGGGAAAGACCATCAGAAACAGAAGTAACAAGGAGCTTAAGGGAAGAGAGAGAGCGAGCCATTATTTCTATTTGCTTATATATATATTATATACTTTTAAACAATAAAAGCGTATTTATAATTTTTATATATTAGCTACTGCAGAAGCTGCTCTTCTGAAGAAGAAAACTCCCGCAGTAGCTTAGCCCAGGATGAAGGTAGCGGCCCTACTTTCTGCTACTCTCTGTCTTGATGAAGAAGAAGCTTAGGGTTTGTGTGGTGGTATATATATAACTAAAAGAGATTACGTTCTCGGTTGGGTTGGGCCTTATTTTCCTTCCTTTTTAACACTGTTTGCCTCCGGGATCTCGTAGAGTCTTCCTCTTAGGAGCTGACACGCGGTTTTGTGAAAGTGCTGGTCCTTGTGCGTACCAACCAACCTGATGTAAGGTGATAAGGATGTAGCCAGAGCTGATATTTCTGTTAGAAAGATACAAAGTTTATGGTCTTAGCTGGATCTTATCTTGATGCTCTTCAAGCAAAACTTTTATTTATGATTAAATATTATAATTTATATCCCTTACATAATGAGGATACTATATCAAATTTATATATTAATAATGTATCAAATATAAATTTTAAATTTATATAAAATAAAACACAAAATTAAATAATTTTGATGTTCTCATTTGCAATACAAATAAATTTAATTCATATAATATGTGAAAAAGGAATTTATTTTAAAAAACAGAGAAAAAGTTAATATTTTGGTTGAAGGATTAAATAAAAATTATAGATGGAGTGCTAATCAATTTAAGCATTAAGCGGTTGTGGATAGACATAGACGTGGAATGCGGTGATTGGACGATTCCACCGGCAAAGAGACAAAAAGGGGGTTTTAGACGGCAGCAATTAAGCAATTCCTTAAGCACGTTGAGTGGTAAGAATGTAAATATAAAAAGTATATGATAATGTTTCAATATGTGGACGGTCCATAAAGGCTACAAGTGTTCTTCTCTTTCTAGATACTCATGCAATTATAGCTACGACAATAATTCTTTATTTATCTTTCGATCATATTTTAAAAGAGAGAGACAAATTCGGAATTGATAAAAATGAAACTTTACCTACAAGATATTTTTTTTGTAAAAAATCTTATATTAAAGAGTCTTTTCTTTAATGTCCTCTCAATTTTGATTTTGAATTTGTAACTTTTTTAAAAAAAATTTTACGATTTTTTAAAATAATAAAAATTATCGATTGTTTGTTTTGAAAGATTTAAAGTTAGTTTAAATTTTTATTATTTTTTGTAATTTAAAAAAGTTTAATGAATCTAGATTCTATGCAAAAGAGATTTATTTGTCTTGTTTTGAATGTGTATCTCTCTTTTCATTTTTTTTTAATAAAAACTTAATGACACCTTGCTTAGAAAAGTTTAAAATTGGTTTAGATTTTTTTGAATTTTTGTAATTTAAAAAAGTTTAAGGAACCAATTAACATTAAAAAAGGGTATTGATTGTGTTATTTTGTTGATTGATTTGCATATCCACATCGACGTCCAATATGAACTCATGCATTTCATACAATAACTTATAATAAATAACATACATATATATATTAAGTTTTAAATTAAACACCAACTTTGTTCCTTGGGAAAAGCAAGTAGGGTTACAATACTTCCATAAAAGCACACAATTTTGTTTAAATCTTAAGAGAAAGAAAGATCAAATTGTGGTGGTGATTAACATTAGAAATGACCAGCCTTATTTATGGATATATTAGGTGAAATGTTTATGTTTCGATGGATGTGCAGCTGGTTAAGTTGATGGTAAGAGCCGAAATCCTGCAGGGACAATGTTGGTGATGTTGAGGAGCCCGACGAGGGTGCTTCCTAGAGACTGTAAAGACAAAATCAATCCCCCGACGGATGGCAGCGCGGCGTTGCAATTGGAGAGAGGGGTTTTGACTGCTAGGTTGCAGTTGTTCAGCAGTGAAGGGAGGAGAAATTGCAGCGGGTCCAACAGGATTGAGAATATGCCGGATCCATTGGTTGTTGCACTGGAAACCACGTTCCCAGCTCCACACTGCAGCTGCACCAGGGCATCTGGAAAAGAAAGTGAGAGTAAGTTGAGTGGTATTCACTTTTGATAATCAAAGAGATTGATAGACAGAGTAGGAAATTAGCTTACTAGGGAAAACTGGGGTTGCAGTGCCATTCACGCCCACGTTGCCATCCATAGTGCAAAATACAGTACCTTAGATTCGAATCAAGCCAAGGAGGCTGCTGATAAGCCCACCTAGCTGGGCTTCGGCCAATGGGGCTGCCAATGCCATTGCAGCAACCAAGAGGCAAACAAACATCAGGGTTTTCAAGGACATGGCTTGGTTAATTCAGAGGCTGTTTAAGCTTATCACTCGCAGCTACTAATGTTCTAAACGTACCTATTTATAGGAAACGAGAGGCCAAATCGGTGCAAATTTTCTCCCCAAGTTGCACTCCCATCTCCATCTATCTTTCTCTCTACTAGTGATTTAGATGAGTCGATGATCTGCATATACTAAAGTCAAGAAACCAAGACAACAGTTCTCTTTGTTCTCAATCTTTCCTCACAGAATCTCAGTTTGTCATGTGCAGCTCAACTCCAACATGCACGCCACCCCGTGTGGGCTTCACCTACAGGCCAAAATCTTGCCCTAGGCTTCTTTAGCTTGCTTTTCTGTCTCTAATGCAAAAGCTTTCTTGGGGGTCTTGTCACGAGGAATGGGGTGGGGGGCTCTCTACTCTGTACATGAGCTCAAGTTGCTGTGCCTATAGATGAACTTTCGCCTTTCAAGAAACTGTAACCCAATTGTCTGGAAAAAGTTTTAGATTGGTCCATAGGTCTAAGCAAGTAAACCAGCCTTTTCTTTCTCCAGTTTTTGAATGCTTTTGCATTCTTACCTCGAGACCTTCCTTCAGGGTGAGGGCAGAACATTGAGATGGTGACAAGCTTCGACCATAAGCTGCTTAATTTGGTATAACCTTGTTTCAACCCATTTTAGACAAAAAACATGCCAAAACCGTTGCCTTCAGAACTGATCCATTAACCCCACTTACATCGAATTTCATTATAGGAAATCCCAATACATTTCCATATTAATCAAGAGTCAATGGTCATGGGCCATTGACAATTGGAGATGGGAGTTAAAGAGTCTGAAATGGAAAGGAAAAAATGAAAAAATCTGGATAAATTTTGGTTTCTACACGAATGGCTGTAAATTCTTTAACCCATCATCACTTCTCCAGCGCCATGGACGAGAAGACAGCTGAATTGACTAAAATTCAAGCCAGCTCCATGTCTTTCTAGGAAGTGTCACTGAAGCATGGAAGTTCAGACCTTTCAGATAGTCTGTTAGCTATGATCTTTCTGACAAATACTTTGTGTAAAATTCCCAGCAGCAAGACACAAACAGCTCTTCCTTGGCTTGGACTATTGCCTCTCCAAACCCAAAACTTAATTTTATATGATGTGTCATCCCCATGCTAAAACTTTGGGTATAATCCAACATCTTATCTGTTTAGGAATCCAATTTCAAGTGTTTTTACTTCCTATTGCATTTGCTGCTATAATGCAACAAAGTAAAGTTTTTGACACTTGATAATTTAGTTTTGTAACAAATTTCATAATTGTTGCAGGTCATAGGCATCATTTACTTGTCATTAGTATTTGCATGCAACTCTACGCCTCAGCTTTTTATTCATCTAGTCCTTAGAATTCGCTAGAATAGATACCTCCATCTTATCACAATTACTTTAGTAAAGACACCAACTCTACACTTAGACTACTATTTTCCAAACTTATTAAAAGTACATGCAAATCCACAAATCCCAAGTTGAGTAAGCTGCTTGCAATGTTTCATTAATGTATCTATTTGGAGCCCTTAAAGTATAGAGTACATACAAATCCCAAATTGAGTAAGCTATTTGCAATTTTCCATTAATGTATTTATTTAGAGGCTTTTGACTCCTACTAATTGTTAGTGGAGGAGGAAATATACAACTTCTTTTTAAAATTGTGCGAGTACAATATCGATCATTTAGTATCACAAAATGTTTCTTGCTCTTACTGTGTAGTAATTTTGATGGCTTAATTTTTCAGTCTTAACTCAATCACTATACTTTGTTATGGGTCTTCCCTTTCAACAAAAATAAAGTGAACATTAATGGTGACTCCCATAACATTATAAATGTCAAGACTGGGATGAATGCCATTGCAATCTATGTCCTGGCATTCAAAGGTCACAACCTTATATTGAAGATATAGGTGAATATATATCTTATTTGGTTTTTTATGCGAGTCTTTAGTTCTCTATCTTAATGCTTATTTTTATGTATAATATCCTATTTTCGAGTTCAAAGTATCCAACCTACTGGACAATGTTGAAAGTAGTGACAATGTCATTTTTTTTCTTCATTAATTTAAAAAATTATCAATGTCATGGACAAGCTAGAATTGTATAAGAGATTGAATCTTATGTACTGGAAATGTTTCCCTTTCAAACATTATTATTGCTTGTTGTGATACTTCTAGAAATCCTTGTTCAATATTTAAGGGGAAAGACTTTGTAAGAAAGAAATGTTTTTATTTCAAGTATTGTAATAGCTATTAGTAGAATATTTGTAAAATTTCGTAAATTTTTTATAAAAGGTGAACAGTTGACGGATTGTTAAGCTATCTCATTAGTAAAAATATATTTGTAACTAATCATCTAAGGCTGCTTATTTGGCCCGACAATAACATTTCTTGATCCCTTTATACTCATTTTCATATTAATAGAGCATTTTCTCTTATTTGATCTTAGTGATTACATGTATGGTATTCGATAGGCCTATAATTTCGATGTGCATTGCTTTAATTTAATTTGTTACTATTGTTAATATTTGATTGGCTGACTGGCATAAAATCAAACACCGCACAAACTATCGCATACTTAAACAAAAAGTATAATTCAAACAATTATACTTAAAAAAAATTCTTTTGTTTTATGTTTTCACATGCTTAAATTTATAACAAATAAATTGCACATACTCTCAACGTAGTTGATTGCATAATAAATTTCACTTTGCCATAGTAATTCTTTTTTTTTTAAATTATCTAATAGCATTTTGATTTGAATTATATTTTCTTATTTCCATGCTCTTATTTGCAAATTTCTCCCACTTTCACCTCAACTCTAACTCAAATATTGAAATATCTAGCACAAAATGAACATTCAATGCCTTATAATTCTATAATATTTTTGCCAACTTTACCCAGATACTCTCTCCTCCTAGCCTTGCTCTGCAACCTTAAAAGTGCCATTTCCATGTTATATATGCAAACTTGCTGATGTAACACCAATGATCTCCAAACTATCCTCTACATGGAACTGGAAAACCTAAATTGGCAGCCTAATGAGGGAGGAATTGGGAATGTCTATCCGAGAGCAGGACCAAGTGAAAGGCTTGTACACTAGATTTCGTACAGAACCTGTAGGATGATTATAGATGTGGGGACACATCCTTCTTCCGCTGGTTACAGTAGAGAAAAAGGAGGATAAAGGGCGCTCATAAAGTCTGGCAACCTAGCTTCTACAGTGGGTTTACACCTTCAAAGTTTAGGGTTGTAGAAAGTCCAGGCATACAGATGGCAGCTACCGTGAAAACCCACCCAAGTTCACAACTACAATTCGTTTGGAATCCATAATTTCAATGGCGAATCAAGGAAGCCAAACCATAAACAGAGTAATAAGCAGACAAAAAATAAAAACCCCTTAGCTCATCAACAACAACAAACCAGAAAAAGCAGAGGGTAAAGTAGTTGAATAAACTTGGTACTGTCAACAATGTCCAAAGAAAACAACTACATAAGCAATCCTAAACACAAGAGAGAAAGGGTGTAATGAGTTCTTTTTCAAACAAAAGACACAAAACAGAAAGAAAAACTTAATCTTCTTCCTCTGCTTCATTCTCAGCAATGTTGAAGTATCTCAATTCATAAACATTCCGATCCTTGTTGGAAGCAATCACTCGGAGCCAATCCCTCACATTGTGTTTCTTCAAGTACTTCTTTGTCAAGTACTTCAGATACCTAAAACCAATCAACGATTTAAGATTTAAATTAAAACCCATAATTGAGAGCTTCTAACAACATTAAAAGAAAAAAACCCATGACAGAAATTTTCCGGGATGTCGGTCCCCGACGTCCGAGAATCCATATAATTATGGAAATGGATAGCGAGGAGAACAATAAATGTAGGCTTCACAATCACAAAAACTCATAACTATTAGTAAATTTATCAGTTTTTAAGTTTCTGCGAAGCCACTGAATAGCTAAAATACATAAATAACATAAAAAGTGAGTGTTTATCAAAGAACTCAGTCCCTTAGATGTTCTTAAATGAATTGCGATCATTTCCGCAATTTCATTACAGGTCTGTTTATCTCATCACTGCTCTTAACAACACTCGAGAGATACTAAAAAATAATTTAACAAATTAGATCTTTTTATTCAAAAACAAAGAAGGGGAATTTTTTATTTAAATTTATTCGAATAATACCTTTTGGAGAAGGCGGAGTCGGAGGTGACGGTGATTTTGGACTTCTCGCGGGTGATGGTGACGGAGTCTCCGAGGTTACCAGCTTTGCCGCCAACTTTGATGCGTTCCTGGAGGAATTTTTCCAGCGAGGCAATGTCCATGATCTTATCCTCCACCGGCTTCCCGCAGTCGATCGTGAAAGTTGCTCCCTTCTTCTTGCCCTTGGCTCCGCCAGCCGCTGCTCCTCTGCTCATTTTTACCTCTTTTGGTTGCTAATCTCTGCACTGATTAACAAAACAGAAAAAAAACAAACATTTGATTCAATACGAAACGTGAAATATATGAATGAGGACGGAGAATTTGAGATTGGGAGACAGAGCTGGGTTACCTTGAATGATTTTAGGGTTTTTGAGCGCCGCAGAAATGGTGGGAGGGCGAGACAAGCTGAGAGCTTTAGGGTTAGGGTTTATAAGGAAAATGATTTTCGGATGGAATGATTGGGCCTCTATTGGGGTTGAAAATATGTACCCTAGCCCAAGTTTCCTCACTGGGGCCCATGATTGGCCCTTAATTGGGCTTATAAATCTGTAGTCTAGCCCAAGCTTTTCACCTACTAAGGCCTTTGGTCGTGCCACGTTAGGTTGGACACTGAAATTGATTTAATTTATTTGGTTTATATTAATCAGGTATTTAGTTTAATTTATTTGATTATTTCAATCGATTTTTTATATTCAATCCAAAAATCAAACATTACCAATATGTATTTTAAAATAAATATTATATATAATACTATATAACCATATATAAATACAATTAATGTATAATATTAATAACAATAATATTTTAATTAATAATTTGAGTAACATAAAATACAAAAAAATTAATGAAACCGATCGAATGTTGATCAAATATAAGTCAAATTCGATACTTGTTCGGTATTTTAAGGGTTCAATTAATTCAATTTACTTGGCCATGTAAAGTTAACAATCTAACCTAAAACGTTATATTTATTTTAATAGTAACAAAGGGAATTTCAACCATGAATTGGAAGAATTAATTGGCAAATTTTGAATTAAGATGATTCGGCCTCTATTGAGCTACGAAAAGAGCAAGATAAGGGCTCAGGTGAATAACATATAACCCGTCAGCCTAAGGCATATCATATATGGCTTCATGAAGACAGCAACACAGGTTTCAGGCAACAAATTCTCTCAACTCTAATTTCCAACATTGTCTGCCATCCATAGAGCCCAGTAAAAACTCCATGCTTCCGCCTAGTTTAAAAGACTCACAGGAAACAAAACTCCAAAATGGTTTGTAAGGAACAATCAAGTTCCCCAACAGCAGGTAACAGGGGGAAAATGAACAACATACACAGTGATGAAATTTATCCAAACAAATGTTTTCTCCTCCATCTGACAAAAATAGTACCAAGATATTGTCTGCTTTCCCACATTTCAACAAAAAAATCGGTTCTTGTGCCTTTTCTACTGATGTTTTTGCTTCTGTCTCTACCTGTTTTATAGATGCTCAAAGGGGGCAGGGTGGAACCTCAACGGTTGTTCCAGCTTGAATTTGGCCCCATCCAATTAGACGCCAGTGCTTCTCAACACGCCGACTTAGTGCAATCTTCTCTCCCTTGCTGGTGCACACAGAAGATGTGAGTTGCAGCTTTGCCAAATCGTTCTTTACAGCTATGACTCGAGCCCCAGTTGACATAGAACCAATGTTCAACATTAGGATCTCTCCCTTGGCCAGCTTTGAGACCTTTCCCTGCCTCTCTGAGCCCTTTGTCCTAACACCAAGAAGCCTTCGAAGAAGGAAGAAGTTTACCTGCACAATTAGAACAGACACAAAGTTTCAGAAGATGACAGCAGTCAGCATTTATTTTTCATTTTTGTTACAGGTCACAATTTCTATAATAATTGTTCACTATGGCAGCAGCCACTGACAACATCCAACAGAATAAACCATCACCACTTCGCAACCAAACCCATCTCCTTCTTGGAAAAGAAAGAGAGAGGGAGAGATTCATTTTGAAATTAAAATATAGGAACCGCTATGGCTTCCCAACCTACCAATCAAGGAAGAAACAGATAAACTAGATAACCAACTTACTTAACATATGCCAAATGTTTAGCAAACTAGGTGTGCCCCCTGCTAAAGAAATCCAGCACCTACCTCGAGCTCAACAAAAACTTCTGGGAGTGACCCAACCTCTCCTAAGACTTGACCCACCAACCTATCAGCACGTGTCAGAGTTGGGTCCATAGTTGTTCCTACACCGATCAGACCTCCTGGAACGGCAAATTGTAGCTCATTTTGTTCAGCATACAGTGAGACTATTCTGGAATATATGGGTGTGCTTTTGATGTTCCCATTTTCATCCTTATGAACAATGCCAGGACGAACTTCAATAAATTGGTTCACCTTCAAAACACCCTGAAAGAACAAATATTAACAAAACAATCATGTATACAAACCAAAGACACCAAGCTCACTCTAAATTCATTCTCTAGCAACTACTAACAGGCAGAAGTTGATGTTTGTAAATTTTCCATTTAATTGCATGCTATGTCTTGGACTGTCAACTAATTAACAGAACATAGAACTTAGCACTATTGCAGACATGAAACATGGAGATATGCAGTAAGTAAATATGTTCACCAACTGTGAATAAGAAGCACTTGTAGTGCCTAGCATTCATCTCCAAATAAAGACTAAGCACTTTCCAATAAAAACATACCCTAAGAATACTTCCACCAGCAACACCACCTTTAATCTCATCAACCTCAAACCCTGGCTTATTGACATCAAATGATCGGATGATAATCATGTTAGGGGGTGAGACAAAGTTTCTCTCTGGAATAGGGATCTTCTTAACAATGTACTCGCACACAACATCGATATTATATTTTAGCTGTGCAGAAATCGGCACCACTGGTGCACCATCAGCAACGGTACCCTGCAATGAATTATTTTTAGCCAAAAGATTCAGACGAAAAAACAAGAATGAAATATCTGTCCATTTTGTGTAAAACAAAAAAACTCACCTGAATAAATTTCTGAATTGCTTCATGCTGGTTGATGGCTACATTCTCTTGAATAAGATCAACCTTGTTTTGAAGAATTATGATATGCTGGAGTCGCATGATTTCAACAGCAGCCAGATGCTCAGAAGTTTGAGGCTGTGGACAGCTTTCATTGGCAGCTATGAGAAGCAATGCACCATCCATAATTGCTGCTCCATTAAGCATGGTAGCCATGAGAATATCGTGGCCCTGATGGAAACAAAGAAGATAGAAAATAAATTCATATACGACGAAATAGAAAACTTTTATAAATCTGAAAAGCAATATGTTTAATCCCTTTTATAGCACTGAAATAAAAGTTAGTACGCAAGCAAGGGAGTGAGAAAACTTAAATCATAATCTCCTCATTTCCAAGAGTACCACTTAGGACCTTACCGGGCAATCTACAAAAGATACATGTCTCAGCAACTTCATCCTGCAGTTTTCAAAGCCTGGCACATCACAAAGAGGACTATCCTCCTTTCCACTACCATATGCCCTACAAAAACAATTTCAGATCAAATTTGGAGTTATTCTTAATACTCATGAAATTTATTAAGAAACAATCGCTAGATATCAACCTACTTGTAGCACATAGGACGAGGGCAACGTTCATCTTCACATTTGTATATCTTTGCATTTGCATATCCAAGCTTGATAGTAATATTACGCTCCAACTCGTTTTTAAAACGAACAGTCTGTAGAAAAAAACACAAGGCACAAGGCCCAACAAGTTACATTTACTAGACTCCTAAATTCAACAGCAACACTAATCACCATACACAAGGCACAAAATAATAAGCAGAGTCTTCAAAGGTAACTAATCACAGCCTCATTGGATATCACTCATTAAAAATAAGCTAAATCACCTGAACGCCGGATATAGCTTTCACAACTGTTGACTTCCCATGTGCCACATGCCCTATAGTGCCTGATAAATTGAAATACAAATCAAAGTTTTAATCATAAAATAACCATAACTATTTGTACCATTAATGCTGCAAGAAGTTTGATCACAACAAAATTTGAACATTACCAATATTTATAGTAGCCTGCCGAGATATAACTTCAGGAGAGAGAGGATGCAACTTTGTTACATCCAGCTTACTTAAGTCTTGCTCCATCAAACCCTTTCTCGACATTTTGACTGCTCCTAATAAAGGTCTTTCTGCTTTAATAAGAACTGTAACCAGAACATATCCCAGAAGAGGAAATCATTTCACTTATTGTAGAAGCAAACCAAGTTTCCAAATATAGTAATCTAGCAGTAGAACAAAGAACCTTCAACAAACGTAAGAAATCAAATTGAAATCCAATAAGTCACAGAGCCGAAACCTTAAAAGCCCAGTTCCTAAAACCTAGGAAAGTACAGACACGACAGACCATAGACACTTTCCTGCCCTAGTTTTTGATCTGAGCCTCAAATCACAAAGAGGAAATGTTGGATTCGAATGTGAAGAAAGGCAGTTTGGATGACTCAAAAAACAAATTCTGATTACTTAAGTCCCCTAATTCATTGCCCCCCAAAAACCCTAAATACAGTAAACACCTCCAATGCTCAAATTCAAGCTTCGTTTACCTTCAACCTTCACAGAAAAAATAAAAATGAATTCTCTAGAGAACAAAATGAAAAAAAGAAAAAGAAAAAAAATTAAAGCAACGACACATAAAAAGAAATCAAATGATACAAATTCGAACAGACACAGCCAAAAATGGCAAACACAAAAAAATATGAAAAATAACAATAAAATCAGCACAAGGAATAGAAAACAATCAACGAACCTGATCGATTGCTTGAGGTGTTTGCTCAGTTTGCAGGAAGAAAACGCAGCTTTGGGAGAGAAAGGGAAGCGCAGTAGCTAGGGATAGTGATATATATGCCGAAATGACTGAAATGAGGGTAGTTTCGTCAAATCAAGTATCTTGAGGTAGAGGCCTTGCTGAGCCCGTATGATGAGGCCAAGGTTTGGGTTAAGTTGGGCTGGGCTGGGTTGGGTATGAGCTTTGTTTGTTGAAGAAGACAAAGCCCATCTTAAACTCCTTACTTGTTTTCTTCCCCAATTTTAATTTTAGATAATTTTTTTAATAAAAATGTTTTCCAATTTTTGGCATAAATTAAAAAATAAGAACTCTTTTCATCAAATATTCTTTTAAAAATTTATGATAATTGAAATAAATGAGTAAATGATTGAACCATTCTATTTCAATTTTGGCATAACAATTTCAACAAATAACATTAGAAAGTATATTGACTCAAATATTATTTTAATGGTAGATAATTGAATTGATGAATAAGCATACAATTAAGGGAAAAAAAATCCTTATATGATACTATAACCGAGGTTTTTCATTCGAATTTATAAAATATAATTCTTATTTTTTTTTCTCATTTTTATTATCTATATATATCGTAGATAATAATATTTGAATCTTTCTTAAATTTTAGTTAAGTTGTTGGTAAGAACTATTTTAAGTCTTTGTAGGTAGTTCACATTAAGTAATATTTTCTACATTTATTGATCGGAATTTTATTTGATAGTATATAGAATTTATATATTAACGATGTACAGAATATAAATCCGATAACTTACATCGAATGACTTCAAAATTATTCGTTGTGTTCTACTCTTTTATGACCATACGTACATGTTTCTGATAGCTAAGAGGTGGATGCATGTAGAGGAATTGCTTGTTGGCTTTGTAAATGACTTGGCCTTGAGAAGCAAAGGATGGAATAGTAGAGAAGGTAATGTACAAAGACAAAAATTGGATTAATGCTCTATCACTCTCAGCTAAAAATGGAAATAAAAAATCTCCCCTGCTGCCAATTTATTATTCACTTAAGCAGCACTCTTGATAAATAGCCATGGCCAAAGGTGTTTCCTTTCTCCAATCATTGAGCGGCTGCACCACCCATTTTCTGTTCACCGAAGATTCTTTGCCTGAAATCCGAGACCATGAGAGGAAGCCCTTTGCGGAGGGACACGGTTGGTTCCCAACCGAGAAGCTGTTTAGCCTTTGAGATGTCGGGTTTTCTCTTGTGCGGATCATCCTCTGTGTTGGGCCTGAACTCTATCTTTGCATTGGGATCAATTGTTTCCTGCACCACCTGCAGCATTACCAGGATGGCAAATTTAACTCTTCTTAGATTGCAGTTCCTGTTTCTGTTGTAACAGGTTCGCAAAATGCAATAGCCATAGACAGATAGAGCTTATAATCTGATGAACTGAAGAACGAAAAGAACTTGGGTCCTGCAAAAAAGATGCCTAGGATCCTTGCATTCATTCATGGCTGCAAAAATGGTTGATTAATCACCGTTCTTACCCCAGTGGTGATTGTATTGCTGAGAACAAGTTTGAATTTGCATATTAATTTTAGAAGAGATTCATCCAAGTTGAATAGTCTGGGAATGATGGGAAGAAGCAATGCAATTTAGATTGAAAGATAGTGAAACTATCAACACATTTTTTACAGATTTACCTCAGCAAGTTCAAGCATGGTGAATTCACCAGGGTTTCCAAGATTGAAAGGTCCCACGTGATCACCTTCCATCAATCGCATTAGACCCTCCACCTGTGTAGTTGTTCAGATACAACAGAACATTTCTCATCAGAGTCTTGTTTTGACCATTATTACCTGTACTGTAAGCTTATAATCTAGAGGACGGAAACCTGCGACAGCCTACCACTAGCCCCAGCCACCAACCTTCTTCCCCGCAAATAAATTGAACTACAGATCTTCACAGATTGTTTCTCATTAATGTACATTGACCTCGCACCCTAAGCAAAGCAGATGAAAATGTGGCTTTAACTAAGCCGCAGAACCTAACTACAAGATGTGCCTGGTAAGAGGACATGTACCTAAAGTTCAAGTACGATTAAAGCTCTGTGACATCTACACAAAGTGACCAGCATTTCCTTAATGCCTTGGTGAAAACAGGACTCTGAAAATTAACCGATTATGAATGCATCAGATAAGTTTTACCAGGTCTGACACATATTGGAAACTCCTGGTTTGCTTTCCATCACCATAGACAGTCAACGGCTCCTTTCTTAAAGCCTGTGCCACAAAATTGCTGACGACACGGCCATCGTCGATGCACATGCGTGGACCATAGGTGTTAAAAATCCGAGCAATCCTCACCTGATGAATGAACAGTTTACATATTATTTTGTTTCCTTCCATGGAATTTCCATTGTCAAGAGAAATATGTAGCAAGCGAAAAACAGTGAAAATTATTATACAACCTCGATGCCAAGGCCTCTATGATAGTCCATGGTCAAGGTCTCGGCAGTGCGCTTGCCCTCATCGTAGCAGCTTCTTACACCTGCCGATGTTCCAAACCATATTCAGAGTTCGCATATTAAGGTCTAGATGAGTTTCTTGTGGTATGATCATATGAATTTAATCCTAAGGGCATTCATTACTAGGAGAGAAGAGGAAAAGAGTGAGTGACTTGCTATGTAAAGGAGTGTAGAGCAAGCCGATGAACTAACCGATGGGATTGACATTGCCCCAATAGGTCTCGACCTGGGGATGCTGCAGAGGATCGCCATAGACCTCACTGGTGCTTGTTAGCAAGAAGCGGGCACCGACTCTCTTTGCAAGTCCTAGCATGTTCAATGTGCCCACCACATTTGTCTTGTGGATCCATGGCCCCGATCAAATCAAGGATTCCAAATACACGACGCAGAAGTAAAAGATACAGAGACATGACAAAGAAAACATAAATCAAAAGTTCCCTGTCTTTGGTAAAATGAGAAGACATGTAGAGTTGTATATGGAGTAGAGATGTTGTAGCATATACCAATAAAAAAACATTTTTACAGCCAGCAAAAGCAGTTCCTTTCAAAACAAAACAAAACTAAGCTGAAGTTTGGTTATTGATTTTATGTTGGTTTGCAACAAAAGAAACATGTATGGCTATGGAAAAGTTCATATTCATAACCCATGTCTTTTTCCTCCTAAATCTTCTTTGCAACCAAACAAAATTTTGATTATCTGAAAGAAAAAGAAAGAATGAGAGAAAGGATATAATGGTCTTGACAGGATTAAACTTGTAATGAACAGGAGAAGCAGGGCAAGCCAAGTGATAGATCTGATCAACTTCCAAGAGAATTGGTTCAACAACATCATGCCTGATGAGCTCAAACCTAGGATCACCAAAATGGTGCACCAAATTCTCTTTCCTCCCTGTAAAGAAGTTATCAACCACGATCACACTATCTCCTCTTCCTATCAGACGGTCCACAAGGTGGCTTCCCACGAACCCAGCTCCACCAGTGACCAATATCCTCAAGCTCTTCCCTTTCACTCCCAGCGGCACCTTGCCAGCAACGTTACTGCGTCGTGAGGCCTCAGGGTTTTCTTCGTATAGGACTCTCCGAGTACCATGGGTGGATTCGGATGCCAAAACCGGGTCCGGAATTAAACCATGAATCGGTTCCTGTGATGGTGATGATATAGGAAAAGCGTTGAAAAAGAGTGCAGCAATGGCGATACCGACAAGAACAAAGACCAAACGCTGCTTCTGAAGCATGTAACGAAATGGGGCCGTCGAGTTTTTGACGAGGTTCGAAGGTTTACCTCGTGGAGTGGGAGTCGGTTGTGTTGAAGTAGTTTGGTTTCTATGAATTAGTTCGGAGTTCATTTTGGCTAATGCGGGGTGTTGGAGAAGATGTTACAGCTATTTTCTCTGAGAAAATGCTGAAGAGAGCTTTGATTGGAAGATTTGAATGTTTCCAAGTGGAAAACGAGAGTTATGAGGGGAGAGTGAGCATTTGTTAGAAGTGACCGGTACAGTAGGGTTCATGCATGGAATCCGCTGTATAATCGCTCTAAGCCTCCTGGCCGGTGCAGCCCCTTTTGTTTTGATTTTAGGCTTTGCCTGCTTAGTCATATGCCATTGCTTTTGTTTCACAATTACATAAAATGGCATTACCAATCTTGGTTTAACGTATGCTTCAACATGTTCATGAGACTGTAAAGTTGACAGCAATACAGCTCTATTTTTGGCCTTTACTCCAACATTTCATTCAAATTAGCCAATCCTATGCCTTGTCTTGCTGACATGCATTAAATTGTTCAAAGTTGTCATTTATAAATTCTTAAGTAGAATTCTTGGGGACCATCATCATCTTAAACACGCACTAATGACCAAGTCTCTGAATTTTCTTTCTTCTTTTTTTTTCGAAAAAATTGTTTCTAAGTAGATATTAAGAAAGAAATTTGAATCAAATGTTCGGATGCAACAAAACTTTTCTCACTTTGTATTAGTTTTTTCTTATTAGATCTAAAAGGAAAGAAGACTTTCCCTTTACTTTTAGATGAACATTTACATTTCTTGAACCGCCAGAATAGGCTTTTGAATATGATAATCACCCTGTCTAACACACCCAAATCGGGTCAATGAATGCATCATTATCAGAGGCTTACCGACATACTCTGTTTTGTCTCTTAAGCAAAGATAACTTTGACAAAACTTCTTCTCATTAAAAGTTGATGAACTACAAAGCTACACCAATTTTCTCATAGCCATGCGTTAGTAAAGATGGAAACCATGGCATTTTAATCTTATAGCTACACCAATTTTCTCATAGCCACGCGTTAGTCAAGATGGAAACTATGGAATTTTAATCTTACATAACTCAAATCATTGTACAACAACTAGGGTGGTTACCAAGGAGATCAGCAAGAAGGGTGTGACTAGAACCGACGGATGTCCTTGGGTGGTTTGAAGTTGAGAGGATGAGTTTGTTCAGTTGCGGTTTCATCTTCTTTCCACATTTTAATTGTCTTGTCTGCTTCACAGGTAACCAATCTTGTGCCAGTTACATCATAACAGAGAGCATAAATACCAGCTTCACTCTCCAATGAGCCTGTAATAAAGCATTCATTGTGTTAATCATTTTCCCACTGTGCAGTCAACAGACACCAGCTAAAAGAGAATCCAGAAAAACATACCAGGCTGTACAATTGTCTGAGCTTGCTGGAAATTGTGACCACTCTTCCAATCCCAAAACCACAAACTCCCATTGTCACCTTCGATAATTTGCAAGAATAAAATTATTAGAAGCATTACTTGCATATTTAGAGGTAGGTCAGCATAAAGAAAAAGTTAAAGAACAAAGGAATGTACTCAATAAAATTCACAAAGTCAAAATTATTCAATATGAAAACATACCTCCAGTAGCCAATACACCATCCTCATTGACAGCCATGGTATTAATTATAGTTTTTTGCTGAGAGCTGCTCCAGAAACACAAAAAGTGATACTATGTCAGTTCATTAAAATACACACAAACAAACATCTAGTAAAATGGCTTTCACTTACAGCATATTGTGTAAGAATTCTCCCCTTGGAAGATTGAATTTCTTGATGTTATCAGCTGATGCGGAAGCAAAACAATCCCTGATACAGAAAAGTTCAGAAAATTAAGGGCAGAGAATAGCAAAATATACTCAGCCACAGCTCCATGTTTCATGTCAATCAATAAATAACATGTGGGGGCACAAACTCTTTAGGATGTAATGCCATTGCTCGCACAGACTTCTTATGGTGTGTTAGAGTTGACATCGTTTTTCCTAGAAATTGAACAAACAATATATTACAAATGAAACAAAACAGTTGAGGAAAAATAAAAGAAAATGTCACATATGTTTAATTTACCATATCTAAGGTCCCAGAATTTTATGGTTGAATCATGGGAGCCAGTAACAACTTGTGGATCCTGTAAGATGAGATGCATAGTTCTATTAAACTATAATTCACCAGTCCAAAACACAAATAAATAATACAGTTAAATAAAAGAAAATTGAAATTGACTTTCTGCAACCATGCAAGGCAGAAATTTCCATTTCACAAGAGAAAAAGATCTTTGTACCATTGGTCGAGTAAAAACTGAGCAAACGGTGTTATCATGCCCCGATAATGCAAATATTTGCATCTTGGTGCGAATATCCCATACCTGAAAATCATTGTTCCATCAGAGAAAAACTTTGATTTCATGACTCCAAAATCAGCAGAAACAATAAAAACCCAATTACATTAAGCAACCAAAACAACTTGTAACCAAAACATTACTTTATGAGTAGTTTCTATATGTTGACAAATTTCATACCCGGCAAACAGAATCACGTCCCCCAGTTAGCAAAATGTCAATAGTAGGATGAAGAGCCAAGCAATAAACACCACTTAGGTGACCATGATAAGACCGAATAACCTATAGAGCAATTTATAAGTTTCAATAACAAGAATGATTTCAACAGTGAGGGAAAAAAAAATCACTTCTGAAGTTCTTAGTAGTTACAGATTCAAAGCAATAAGTTTATGAGTTCTGACCTTGTTCTGTTCAAGGTCCCAGCATTTAACTTGCTTATCATCACCAGCAGAGAACATATATGTATGTTTGTTACTGACAGCGAGGCCTGCGAATAAAATTTATCTTTCTCAACAATTCTAAATCCATGATTGATACTCATCATCCACACCATGGGTAGCCAGTAAAAACTATTGACACCTGAGAAATTTTCTAGAGAAGTAAAGACTAACCTCGTATCTGTTCAATGTGTCCAGTTAGTGTGAGCTTTAGCCTTCCACTTGCTACATCCCATATCTAGCATGCCGAGATTAAGGCACAGAAAAGAAAAAAGTAATTTTCAACAAGTAATGGCTGAATTGGCAAATCAACATCCATTTTATAAAGCTCGTATACTAGCAGAGGAAAAAGAAAGAGAGAAGGAGAAATGTGCTAAAAAATGTGTTAAAAGCTTGATACCTTGATTGTACGATCTGCAGAACCAGTACAAAACCAATTGTTACTTGGATCAAAGGCCACAGACCTCACCCATCCCAAATGCCCACTGACAACCTGCATAACCCATTTAGACATGTCAAGTAACCTACATGAACTGGAATGCAAAGAAGCAGCAATGAAAAAAGTTCAACAGAAAAAATTCAAACAATTGAGATAGACTGCATTATCAAAAAGGTGAAATTAATGAATAATAGTCTCGATGTAGCTTACAAACATGTTCATCAAAGAATAGGACATAATATATCAATGTGATGGACAAGAAAGATGCAGGCCAGTAAAGTAATGCAGTCAAGGAGAGGGAAGGTGTCCAAAACTGCTTGTGTATGACCCCAGGGGAAATAAAAAGTGATAACAAAAATTACATTTGATTGCATGTGACCATGAAATCAACAACAGACCCCAATGGCATTTCTATAAACTACTGCATCATTAGGAACGAGATTCTCACCCTGTAGTTTTTCCATGGACGATGCCACACTGGACGTGGCCATTTGCTTGGGATTCTTTCTATTATTGCAGAAGTCGCTAGCCTGTCACATGAAAGAAAACAGAAATCTTCAAGCTACAATGGTTCCACCAATTGGTAATTCACTCATAAATCATGTGCCTGAATAAATCCTGCCATATGCATAGGCCAAAACATATTCGCGCACATTCACTTACAAAGTTTGCTGCATGCCTAAATACTGGTAAGTGAAAGATACATGAAATGGAAGCTCTAATTGCACGATAGAGATCAATTTTCACATATGAGAGCATGTAAGCAATAAAAAAACCACAATGGTAAAGAAATGTATTAAGGCACGATAACAATTCACATGATTGCACAACTTATCAAATAATCAAGGAGTCAGAAAATGCAAAACAGGGAGAGAGCAGAAACCTTTCAGAAAAGGGTGCAGAAGCTGAAACCACAGAGGTGCTTTTGCCCGAAGTACCGACATCATTTCTGGAAAAGATGAGACAAAGAGAAAAAAAAAATAGTACCACAACTTAGCAACACAAGTTCTTCTGCATAGCAGAAATGGATCAAAGCAAACAAGGATGCAGGGGCCTTTATGTCTCAGGATCAATCCCATTTAACATTAAAATTAAATACCCATATCTGCGAATTCATTGGGGAAGAAGTAACAGATTAGTATAAAAAATTAACACAACAGAACTTACTGCCCCTTTGGTTGCAAATTTGGACCAACAACTAAAGCATTTTGAGTCCCTTGCTTTTGTGAATCCCTAGAATCTGATGGACCTGCTCAATTAACCATTTACAGTTACGGTTACACAAGCCTCACCATAGATAACAAGCTGCTAAAACATACATCAGTAATGACTGGCCAAAATAATTGTATCTAGCATCATTAAGTGCCAGGCTACTCCGGCACAAACCAGGAAACTTAATTGAACAAATTATCAAGCTAAAGCAATTCATTTTATTCAATTGAACTTTTACGTAGATTCGGTGGCTTCTTATGCCAGTCAATGGCCACTAGGTCACCATGAAATTATGGATTCCCTGATGAAGTGAAGAGTCTTCTGTTTAACGCTATTATTAGTGTTCGTTTCCTAGATCAGCTAATCAGTAGGTTAACCTATTCCTTAGTACCAAAAAAAATTACCTGTAAGAGCAAGGGCATTCGAAGGTGCCGAGCCTTGATTCCCGGCAGTAGCTGCACCTGAATTACCTTGCCTTGAAGGTTGACCCGGCGTGTTTTTAATTCGACTATACTCAACATTTATCTAACAAATCCATTTATAAGCCGATAAACAATCCTCATTATAATAATAAAGAAAAAAAAAACTAAAATTGAAGCAAATCCTACTAACCTTGTGACTCATACGAATCTTTTTGCTGCATTCAAGAAAAAGAAAAGAACCCCTTAGTTTCAAGTAGGGTTTTAATGAAATTTGAGTTAACAAATTAAAAACACAAAGCTTGTAAATTTGTTCTTTTAAAGAAAAAGACGCAACCTTTCGGCGTCAGGAGCAGCGAATTGGCCATGGATAGGGCTAAAGAGATCGAGAGCGCGCTTTAGGGATTTAAGACTGAGCTTCTTCAATGACTGTGGCTCCACTGGCTCCATCTCCAGCGTTGGTCCTGGCATCTTCTCCCGATTCGGGAGATTTGGAGACTAGGGTTTTAGGACAGA